TTGCTGTAATTTAACTTCTTCCTTCCTTCTTCCACATAACAGTGGTGCAAGGGGAACATACTTCACTGAACATTGTATGTCATTTGCAGTTTTGCATACAGTTGCCGTGGAGTATACATAACATTTCTTTTCATGCCTTCATCCAAAGTGTAAAGTGGTGAAAGACATATGCTGTGTTTTGGAAAGTGATGAATAACTAGAATTCAACCAAAATGAGCAAACTCATATGGATGATGTGATGTTGTTGAAAATTGTTTTCTGGGGTACCTTGAAATTATAATGATTATTAATTCACATAACTAACAGCAAAAAAAGAAATCAGAAACAACCGCCTTGCTGCAGGCAACAAAAAGCTTCGGAGAATAAAGCCCGGTATACTGGAGAAGAGCTGTGCCATGTGTTTTATTGTGATTGACTTCAGCTGGTGCTATGAGGCCGGATGAGGAGCCCTGTGACTCACACCTGAAACAGTCTGTTGCATTAAACAACCTTTTTGCTTCAGTTTTAGCTTATTTTATAAATGCCATGAAAATGTATTTTTAATTGTGAGCCATTATAGACATCTTACTTTATATTCATACACTGTGTACCTGCAGTGTATTTGCATTAGTGATATGTTTGCATTGTGTGCACATTAATGGGTTTGTGTGTGCGAAAACAGTTTTGCTCTCTGCCACGTTTGATTTCTCCTGATGAGAGATCCGATGAGTTGACAGGCAGGAAACAGATGTGCAATTTACAGACAATTAATTTATCACTTTCTTTCATTCTCTCTCTCTGCTTGTAGTCTTTGTCTGACACACACACACACATCCGTGCCAACCGACACTGCCGCTCTGTGAAGCACTGCATTTCTGTTGTCGTCATGATAGAAAACTTTCTTATCGTGCTCTCAGAAGATAAAAACACCCTGCTGAATCTCTCTGACGTCTGTTCTTCTTCTTCTCCCTGTCTGTCTGCCGGGGACGAGTAGAAAAGATTTCCATTATTCTCACAACTAAACAAGAACCAATCTGGTCTAAATCTCATCCCCTTCTTGCTTGTCGTACAGCTCCAAACCTCCTGACAATCTGCCTTCAGCTCATGTGATCTTTCACTCCTGGAGAAAAGTACAAGGAGCAAAAATCTGAGATTTCCCACAAAAAGAAAAAAGAGATGAGTGATGGCAAGATGGGAGTAATGAGGGAGACAGAGAGGTTATACACTCCACTAATTAGCTGGGGTCTTCACAAGTTCAAGGACAGTTTCAATTTAGCTGATAAAGATGAGAGGATGAGGAAAGGAGGTGGGTGAGACTTTCCACATCTTAATTACCCCAGTAGTTTTCAGCTGGTGGCACCTTGGGGAGTGTGTGTGAGTGTGTGTGGGGGGGGAGCACAGAGAGGAGCGGGAGGTCTTCTATGGAAAGCCCAGGCATCTTATCCAGGGCTGAGTTCAGCTGGGCGTGGCCCAAAGCTTCCCAGGGTCGCACTTTTTCTTTCAATTACTCTGCTGCTCGCACAAGGATCCTGAGCCCAGGAGGATTATGTGTAACACAGGGGTTAAACAGACGTGCATGGCTTCATTCATACATACATACAAATTAACCATGCCCATGTCCCTGATCTTTACAAAATAGTCAAGGCAGTGTATTGTTGATGGTTAACATTTCTTGCAGACATGACTGAAGAGGGCATCAGTTCTGGCTCTGCTGAATACCAATTTCTATTATCCTCAACACCTTAACCTGTAATCCTCACTGCAGCTCATCTGAAGGAGGGAGAGTGTGAGATTGCTTTTCACTTGGTAGCGAAGGAGGAAGTCATGCAGTTTAGCAGTGAGTAGGTCACTGGTACTGTTTATGTCTTCTGAGATTTTTCTTTCATTATTGCTGTTTTCTTATCCAGAAAATGCGTACCATTGTCTTTTCCTGCTTTATATTAACACACAAAGCTGGACTCAGTCTTTTTAGAGGCCTAGGTGTAATGCTGCTTTAGGGAGGGGCAATAAAAAATTATCTAATAATAAAAATCTGTAATTTATCAAAACATATTAGCAGAAAACAATGCTTGTTGTCAGGTTCAATGTCTGTTTTTCACTGTCAGATCTAGCCATGCTACTCTCAGTAGGATAAGAGGCAATTGTTATGAACTGGCTAAAACAAAAGCTGTCTGTATTTAGCCTAATTAGCCATGTAACGTGTGGACTGAGACGGCTGCTCCTAACCAGCCTCTCCTCCCTCCATTAGCCTCACATACTATACCAGGCAGTAAGTGCCTTTGTATTAGGGGTAAGAACGTGGATGACCGAGGACCGAACGAATGAGTAATAATGAGTGTTTTCACTGTCCGTCAGTCTTTTTCAACTTCACTCTTTGTTGTCAGGAATGTTTTGTTTAGATTTAAGCTTCTGGTAGACTTTGCAGAATTTATATAGTGTCTCTACTGAAACAATATTTTGCTATGTAAATACACTATAATCTGTTTCTACTATTAATGTATTCTTATTTTGCACAGCAATAAAAAAGGGACCCACCCTTACATATAATGCAAGTCAATAGAATCTCTTCAATAGACCCTCCCTGTCCAGCAATCAAATAAACCTTTTACTCCATTGAATTGATATACTATTATTTGAATGACTGGATTGTAATTTAATTTGAATATGATTTTGTATTTGAATTAATTTTTTTTTCTTTGTCACCTGCAAATATCCTGTTTCGACAGAAATAGAGAAGAGGAAAGCTGCTCTTTAAACCACATTGCCCTAAAATGTGGGTTAATCTGAGTGTTATTCTTGTATTTTTGTCCATCATGAGTACATTTTACTCAACATATCCCTATAAAGATTTGAGAAACAACCCACAATAACAGCACTGTTCAGGGCGTACTGTACTACGAGCCTACAGCTTTTGAGTAGCTCTATATGCGTAGTAAAGGCACGTTCCATGCTGATTGGTGCAGAAACTCCCAGGGGGCGCTATACAAAATGGCACTTTCTTACAGTATCTACAATGCTAGTGTTGCTAGAAGTAGATCATTATATTTTAGAGACTCTTGGTTGTACTTGCATGCTGATGTTTCACTAGTTAACTAGACTGTTTTTCCTTATCTGGTCTTGATATAAGGGCATATATTATTGTACAATTTGGGAAATCAAGAAACACAAGTAGGCTTATTAGTCTCAAGCCAGTTGATCAGCAGTGATGGGCTGTGTACATAAAGGTCATCTCAACTTCATCCCAAGTTCAACAAATTCAAACTTTCAGTTCAGTGTATATGTATGTGCATCGCACACACAATGGTGAGGCAAAATTAGTCTTTCCATGATAATGTGAGCATGCCATAATATTTTTAGCTAAATGGTTGATGACATAAACAGTCAAGAGATTCCCACTGTTGTTACAATTCATCCTGAGTGGAACATGACTGTCTATTGTTAAATAAAGATATTTTTATTTATAAATATACTTACCAAGAGTCAAGCATTGCAATAAAATATAAAATGTTACAATTTTGTTGTTAAAATAATGATAAAGAATTCTAAGATGTAAGCAAGACAGGAATAAAGCAATATAGCCTAAATTACCATCAACATGATCCCATTTCATACAGCCTCAGGTACACTAACTAGATCAGGCAAATCATTGTTCTCCAGAAAACTATAGGAAATGTCATTTTTGCAAAATGTATCAAGCTTAGTTTTTGGTACATGAATGTCTGCACCAAAGTTTATTATAAACTATTCAGTAGTTTTTGATACTTTTTACTTGTGAATGTTATGATATTGCTAGAGGAAAAAATGTATCATCTGGTGACCCTGAATGTTTCCACATCTCATGGAAATCCATATAATAGATGGTGAGATATTTCCTTGTGGGCCAGACTAACATTGCCATTAGATACATGGATGTGTCAAATTAATTAATGCTATGCATAGCAGTCTGAATAAAGACAGCCATACTGACTGATTTGTTCATTCACTATACAGTTCCACGTGTGTGTTTGCAAGCTGAAATGTAAACGTATGAATATGTAATGGTCTGTAAACACCAGAGCAAAAAGCTGACTGGTACTGTATGCTGAGTGGGACCTGGAAAAGAGATCATCCTCAATCATCTTGTCCTACACTGCAAACATGTTCCTGTGTACACGTTGTACCCACTGAGGCATTCAAATAAATCTGAATTTCCCGTTTAATATTCCTGTGTGTCCTACTACATGAAATCTGGGCATTTTCTAGGCGTCTGCAGATCGAGGTCTTTGGGAGTGCGGCTCCTCACAATACACACAGAGCAGGACGAACAGACAGCTTCCTGTGATGGAGTGTCCCTCTGGTGCTGGATGTACAGTAGCAGGTGCAGGGAGGTGTAATACACATGAACACATTTAGAAATGCCAACACATTTCACTTACTGTTCATCCTCATAATTCTATTATTGGCCTCCTGCGACATTCAGTAAACAATGTAAATCTAATCACATGCATTAGGAGAATCTCATTAAAGTGAAATATGTCCCGTTAGAATTGAATTCCAACATGCTGAAATGTAGAACACATGACTGCATGTGTTATCCATTGCTTACCAGAACAATGGAGTGGAATAAATCAGAAGCATTAATCCCAGTTTAACAGTGTGCCTGGAGATTTTTAGATGGAGAATCATGAGAAGGTGAATGACAATCTACGTGACTTTGCAGGACAAAGTCATGTAGATAATGAGCTTTGAACTCACCACCAGTCATCTGGAAAACCATGCTGTTCATCTTTGGAGAGATTCAGAGGTACAATACCATACACCTACTACACTGCTGCCTGTCTGACAGGAGTCGTCACGTTTCATTTAAAGTCAAAGCTAATAATCTCCTGATGTGGTTAGGGAGACATGCAGGCACAGACGATCATGTGGGAAATATACTGTGTGCAGCAGTTCAGTGATTTGCTGCATATGAATCTGAAAAACGTGGAGACTTGTGAACATGTGACCCAAGAATGTTTCCCTCTCTTTCTCTCCCTCTGCAGTGGGATGCCATTAATGAGATGGACGAGTACTTCAGTCCCATCCACACGTACCAGGTGTGTAATTGTCTCAGTGTGAGGTGGGGTTGAATGTTTTATTAGAATGAATTATTATAAGAACTTCAATTTAATTACACTATATAGTCTATAATACAATTGCAATGATGAGTTGATTCATCAACTGATGAATCAACTGTTGACTTAAATGGTTAAGAATTTAAGTCAATTTTATAAGAACAAACTGCCCAAAAAATCAGCTGTTCCATATTAGGTGGTTTTCTTAGTTTTCTTTGATAGTAAATATAAAACCTTTGACACTCGGGGTGTTTGTTGGACAAAACAAGCACTTGAAGACATCACCTTGGACTGTGGTAAACTGCAATGAGCCCTTTTCACTATGTTGTGAAAATTATTATTTGACCTCCCACATCTAGAACTTTTTTCCAAATTTAAATGTTTTTGTTTTTAAAGCATCCCTTAACATTCTAAGATTAATTTTCTCACTGATTAATTTAACTGATAAAAATCATAAATGTCATTTAAACAATATACAGCATCAGCCTATAAATGATTCACCAAGAGGCAGCTTTTTATTGTTAGACATACATTTCTATCAAGTTGTTTAAAAAAGCCTGAGCCAGAAGACATGACCATATTGTGCTCAGTGGTACTGAGACCCAGACGGCAGCCAGCCTTCTGGATATGCAGCCATACAAATACTGTAAATCAACTGAGCATGACACAGTTTATAAAATGCTAAATCACTGATGCAGATGGTAGTTGGAGCATTTCACCATCAGGGAACAATTTTCAAATAAAATGGACATATTATACATTGTGTAAACCTGGCTTGAGTTTGGTTAAGTATTAAGTCTTTACAGCGCAAAACAGGACATACTTTATGATTGCAAGTAACAAATGCATACAAATTCTCCAAATTTGTGTACAGGTCTTATATCAGCCTAACTAAATGTGCATTAGTTGGTGTGAAGATCTACAACCAGCTATTTTGCTGTTCAAACAATAGTGTTGCACCTGAATGAGAGGCAGAAGTCTTGTCTTTAAAACAGAAACCAGAAACTCTAAATATCTACGGGGAAAAACAAACCACACATAACATCTTTAATGACTACAATGTTTGTTTTTATTGGCATTTCTGCTGCTACAACTGATGACTGTATCACTTATTCTGAATCAGGTCTGTAACGTAATGAGCCCGAGCCAGAATAACTGGCTGAGGACGGGCTGGATCCCCCGAGAGGGAGCCAGGAGGATCTACATCGAGGTCAAGTTCACCCTGCGAGACTGCAACAGCATGCCTGGAGTACTGGGCACCTGCAAGGTAACACTCAGAAAGCCAGGGGAGAACAGACGAGGAGAGATGATGAAAAATGTCTGGGAGAGGAGCTCTTAAATGCACATAATGTAACTCATATTCTGTTAGAATATAGCATTTAAACATCCCATTAGCATTTAAAAAATGCAATTGAGATGATGTCTGTTTAAACTCTTACATACTTCAAAGTCTGACTTGAACTGCTTCACAATTACCTTTGAATGTAATTAGGAAGATACAGATTTTGCTTTAATGAACTTCTATGACATTTGGGGAGGTAGACATACTGCTCACTTTACCTACTGTATCGTGTGTGTGGTACTGTAGATATCTCTGGTGCTAACATGACATGCTAATATGCCAGCACCCACAGTACATAGAGTATATTAAGCCTATAGCACCACCCAAGAAATGAAAAATGAGAAACGGAGAAAGTGAGATGTTTTTGGGAAAGTTGTAATATAGAGTAAAAAAGTTGTAGAATATCTCTTCTAATGGAATTTTGATTATAATTTCTAAGGCCGAATACTGGCACCGATCTCCTGTTATGACCGAATTTTGATTCACAAAGTCCAAGAGTTATTCACTTTGATTCAGTTAGATTCAAATCAATTTGAGTATTGATAATCCCATTACATCAGATACAAACCAATAAACCAGTAACTAATAAAGCACTGCTCAGAATTGATCCTGGGAACTTGGCACACATTCAAGGATCAGTCTTGGGAGTTTAAGAATCTGTAGTGGATGATTCAAATAATAATCATGGTTAATATGAAAACTGACTACCTATCCATTCTCTGTAATATATGGCATATTTCCATCAGCACAGTTCAGCCTGCTTTTATTGTGCAGAGCAGGTGGGACTGGCCTCTGTTTCTATCTGTTACTAACAGCAGAGGGTAACTCAGGTTCAGTGGGCCTTAATTCCACCCAGGACCGAGTACTCAGGTTCAATGGGCCTTAATTCCACCCAGGACCGAGTGGAGCCCAACTTCGCCTTCAACAGAACCAGCTCATTGAGACACTTGATTGTCTGAAATTTTGCACTGAGGGAAAGTCCTTCCACATTCAGCATTCACTTTTTAGCTGTAGTTTCATTGAAGCAAATTTTGAAAACGGAGTCTTTCACTGGGTCTTCTGGTGACAGGTTAAAATAACGCCACCAAGGTTTCCATGTTGCAAACTAGTAACACCACACTGACACTATCAGTTAACTGCTGCTTTTCAGCAGCACCCCCACGTGATGAAGATGAGGAAGATAAATAAAGTGTTTTTAGTGCAGTGGAAACACAGCTGCACTGGCTCAGATGTGAGTCGGTACAGCTCCACAACGCAAGCCATGACTCAGCATGACAAATGGAGATACATCATTTGTTTACCTATTTCTGCACTGTGGTAGTAACTGCATTATTTGTGCTATTTACTAATCCCCCAATGCCATAAATTATTTAGACTAGATGGATGACAAAGTTACCCTATGGAGGAGAACTGATTACACACAGGCTTTTTTAGAGAGACGGAACCATTTTCACCACCAACAAGAATGTGTCTCAAACCACTTCTCGAGGTGTTTTCTGTCTGTATCTAATGTGTCTTGGTTGCATTTGCACTTGGCTTTTTTTGATATTGAATATACTAAGGGTAAATGGAGTATTATTAGTTCTGCAATACAATAAACACACAAACAGAAGCCATAGAAGCCTTGTTTGTTTTACAGGAAACCTTCAACCTGTACTACTACGAGTCTGACAGAGCGGTGGTCTCGGCCATACGGGAGAACCAGTTCATAAAGATTGACACAATCGCTGCTGATGAGAGCTTCACAGGAGTGGACCTGGGAGTGCGCAGACTTAAACTTAACACTGAGGTATGATCCCACAACACAAAATAACAGCAGGAAGATTGACTGAAATTATTCAGTTCAAGCTCTTTGAAGGAACATGAAGAGATCAAAAATCTAGCAGCACTTGCAGTATGTCTTTGAAGCAACATCTCACTTTGGATAGTAAATTTATTCCAATTTTTGGCACGTACACCTCCACCAGAGTTCAAGACAAGCTGGAAACATCCCCAGCCCTGGAGAGGCTCTCCCAGCCTGATCACTCAAGCTGCTTTGTGCTCAGTTCTGTAGATCTGTAAAGGAAAACAAACATCAGGGTTCGGCTGTGTATCCACCACTCTCATATTGATAACAGCTTCAAATCTGATACTGGATAGTGGAACTGGAACACTTTTATTGATATTTTATATTGTCTCAAAGACGATGATATGAAAGACACTGTATAGTTTATTGTTCACCATCCTCACATTTTTTTACATTAATCCTGAGTTATCTATACAAAACTGTGCCTCTGCCATTTAATGTTTCCCTAATCTTTTTTCTCATTTCTGCCTACTTTATTGTCAAAGCATGAACACTGAAACAATGCTACAAAAGGTCAAAAAAGAAAAATTGCATCATAGTGATTGCTGTTTTCAATGCTTGATTTATTACAGTAGTTCAACTATAACACATTTAACTGAAACACTAAACAAGGGTGTTTTGCCTGCTGTGTTGTTAACTGCTGCCGTTACAGTTCTTTAGCAACTTAGATGCCCACAAATACAGTAAATGTTTGTATATTTGTAATGTTAATAAGAATTTTTGTTTAAAAAAGAATCCTGACATTTCTCTCTATATTTTTCATATTGTCATTAAATTCCATAAAAAGACCAAAACCAACAATAACTCAATCCCATTGACCAGTATCGTGTATATATCCAAAACTTTAAGCTACGCACTGTAGTTTATTTTGACTTAACCCAGCCTACACCATCTTTAAATATGGTTGTACAGTAAATACTCACTTAAGCGTAAAAACTGGATTAATCTCCTGCTAAAAATAGTCCCTAACAAATGAACTGTTTCATCCTGTTTGAGTCACTTTGCTAAAAGCTACAGTGCCGAGCCACATGACCTCCCCGTCAGACAAAGACCTGTACAGAGGACAGACTACACGGTAACACAAAAGGCAAAACTCAAAACACACCAGTCACACATTAAGACACACATTAGAGAAAAGACAAAGGGAATTAACATATAAAGAAGAAATGAATAAAATTGGGCAAGAAAGAGAAATAATAGCAGGACCCAGATGCAGACACCTGAACAGGTATCAACAGCCAGAGGAGAGAGGTCCTAGGATGGCAGATGGTCTAGCACAGGCAACCTGTGTGACAGAGGGGACAGGGAGAAGCATGAGAGATAGGCACACAGCTTGGACACTCATCATGGACTCAAGAGAACAAACAGGCAAGGTTAGAAAGAGTTACAGGCAGCATCAACTGCCTGTGACTTTCAGTTGAGTTTGAAAAATAACTGATTAGCATCACTAAGTGTATACTTGCAGCACTTTCTTTTGATTTGATTTTGATTTGATTTATTCTTTCAAGCATGTAAAGACAGTTGATATGTCAACACACATAATTTTACACATATCCAACAAATGCTAATCCAATATCAATTTGCTTATACCTAGTACATGCTTGAATGGAGTAGGAAGAAGTCAGACTTATCCAGTCCTACCCCATGACATCATCTTACATCATTGGTTTGCAAGCAGTATCTCTACATAAATAATTATCTTCTACACCACACAAGTAATATACTAAAAAAATAT